ATGTGCTTTATAGACTATAGCAAAGCCTTTGACTGCATAGACCATAAATGCCCTTAAAGACATGGCACTGCCAACACATCTGATAGTCCTAATGAGGAATCTGTACTCAGGACAAGAGGCTACTGTCACAACAAAATATGGAGAAACAGAATGGTTCCCAATTGGCAAAGGGGTCAGACAAGGCTGCATCCTTTTAACCTATCTGTTCAACTTGTATGCAGAACATATTGTAGGAAAAGCAGGCTTGGACACAGAAGAAGGAGGAGAGAAAATAAGAGGAATATCAGCAATCTAAGATGTGCAGATGACACCATATTTCTAGCAGAAAACCTCACAAACCTGGAACACCTACTAAGGAAGATCAAAGAAGAAAGTGCAAAGGCAGGCTTAATGTTGAATATAAAGAAAACAAAAATAATGGCTACCAAGGACCTTCATAAGTTCAACTTAGACAATGAAGAAATAGTAAAAGAATTCCCAAACCTGAATTCCAAAGATTGATAGAAATGGGGACTGCAATCAGGAAATCAGAAGAAGATTAAGAATGGGGAGGGTGGCTATGAAAGAATTACAAAAGATTCTAAAATGCAAAGATATACAACCAAGAACAAAAGTTAGAATCATCTAAGCCACTGTATCCCCTATTACCATGTATGGATGTGAGAGCTGGACAGCTGAGAAGGAAGATAGGAAGAAAATCAATGCATTTGAGACAATGTGGTACTGGAGAAGAGTGCTGAAGATCCCTGGCAAACAAATGGGATTCATTAGAAAAGACAATAATGCTGGGAAAGGTGGGGGAAGGTAGGAAGAGAGGAAGGCCACATGCCGGATGGATGGATTCTGTTAAGGAGGTCATGGGTATTAAGGGGTTAAGCAGAGAAGTGGAGGACAGAGGGTCTTGGAAATGTCTCAACTATAGGGTCACCATGAGTTGAGATCGAATGGAGGGCAGTTAACAACAAACAACAAGAAGAATTGCATTGGCTTTTTTAGGTGCCGCATCACACTATTGACTCATGTTCAATTTGAGGTCAACTAGGACTCCTAGATCCCTTTCATGTATAGTCGGGTTAAGCAAGGTGCCCACCATCCTATATCTGTGCATTTAATTTTTTCTGCTTAAGTGCAGTACCTTACATTTCTCCATGTTGAAATTCATTTTGTTAGTTTTGGCCCAGCTTTCTAATCTATTGAGGTCATTTTGAATTTTAATCCTCTCCTCTGGGATATTAGCTACTCCTCCTAATTTCCTGTCATCTTAAAATTTGATAAGCATTTGCACTTCTGGGAAATTTGTAGTGCAGTTCTTGGTTCAAAAAATCACTGCACATTTTAAGATGTGTTTTAGTATTATGTCTATATTCATATGTCAATTTAGTAATATAAACGTTGTGAGAAAAGCTGTTCTCATTTTCTCTCTCTCTCTCTAATACATACATGCACAGCTCAATAGAAATGTCATTCACCCATGCTCTGTTTGGCAGAAGAGACCTTCCCCATGCTGGTGATGACCAGTAAAGTAGGTGGTGCAGTGGCGGCGGTGTGTTGTTCTGATTTTGGCAATAGCATGAAAATTATGACTAAATAGAGATCATGAAAACAAAACTGTTACAGCTGAGTAAATATAGACAAATCTAGACAACTGTTCAATATTCACAATCACTACTGAATCACCATTTTCACACTATTGTCACAATCATACGTACTCAGTCTACTTTCAGCTGCATGTGGAGGAAAACGTCCAGCAACTGGAGCGCAATTGAATGACATTTACAAGTTTGGGGGTGGACAGGTCAGGAGAAGTTACTTAGTACACTTAACTAGTGGCTGATACAGACTTCTAAATTAAATTTGTATTTATATACAAATAATTTATTTGTGTGTTTTTGTATATACACACACACAAGTATTTATATATAAAAGATGTAGAAAGAGAGGCCTAAATACTACAAAGTCACCAGATCCCATTTGATCTAGGATTGGGAAGTTAAGCATGGCCAACTTTGGTTAGCACTTGGATGGGAGACTGCCAATGAATACCAGCTACCATAGGCTATATTTTGGAAGGAGGAACTGGTACCTTTGAGTGTTCATGGTGTTGCCATTAGTTGACAGGTGACTTGAAGGTAGATAGATAGATAGAATCTACAAATGCAAATGAAATATAGACTGATCCATTCATCCCTAATACAAAATTATTTGTGACCAAAACAGACCACTTATATATCTCAGGAATGCAAATAGTCTGATAGAGATGGACATAACATATTTGCCAAAGCAAATTTTCCTTATTCAAGAAGAGCTTGGTTCACTGTCATATAACAGATTCAGTTTGATTATTTCCAAGTCAAATACCTTGAGAGTAATGATGAAGTTGGGTCCAGATCCCCAAAAGGGGAAATATTTACCAATTTTCAAAAAGTGTTTTTTCCTCCTTGAAAACAGTCTTTCTTTATTTTGCTGACCACTTCAAGATCTATACATGCGGTTCCAAAGCAATTGTTAAAGCTAAGATGGACTCAACATTTAATTGAACCAGAGCTTGGACTACAACTTTCAGCATCCCCCTTTCCAGCCAGTGATAATTTATAGGATCTGGGCTTTATAGTTCAGAATGTAACTTCTTCAAGGTTTGTTTTGAAAAAGTATCTTTTGGAAGCACTGTATGCAACTTGCTGGG